TTAATGGTGCAAGTTGGCCACCGAGAATATGTAACTATTACTACTAAACTTCGTTTTTAAGAGAATATATAGAAATATTCACTTTTGAATAATCAACTTTTTGGGAAACAGATATTCCTTAAATTATGATTGAACTATTGCCAACTTAAAATATTTTGGAACTATAAGATAACCGGTGCGGTTAAATAATATTTAGTATCTCACCTAATATAAGACCTAAGTAATATTTTAATCACAAGTCTCATCTATTTAGGTCTATTTTTGAATTTAGGTCTATTTTAGTTTAGTGGGAAACTCTTTGCAAGATGCAATATCCGATAAAAAAGATTTAAAATAATTTTTTATTAAATGTAATTGTTGTAGTAAATTATGTTAAAAAAATAACTTCTTATTTTTCTTCACAACAAAATATATTAATAATTGATATTCAGATGTCTGAGTTGGTGAATCAGCACCTTTACTCTATTTTATCTGTGAACAATTTTAAGTCACACTAAATACGGGGCTTTACGGGGCTTTATAATATGATGGATCTGATATCTTTGTATCTGCCTGTGTTTATCAAATTTCGCTGTATTTTTAGGATACTGAGAGTTGGATTATTGTGACTGTCAATTGTATTGAATAGTTTCAGAGCACGATCTTTAATGTATTTTTCAACTGAATCCACTCTCAGATCTCTGTGGATATCAGCTCCTCTTACATACCATGGGGCGTTGACCAGTTTTCTTAAGGCAATATTTTGCCCTCTTTGAAGAATTTTTAAAGTTGAGCTTGGCGCTTGGCAAAACGCTATACTGCCATATAGTAGTCCTGGTTTAATAATTTGCTTAAATATGCTAACTCTATTCTTTATGTTGAGCTTTTTGCTGCTGATGAGCGGGTAAAATATATTAGTAAAACCGGAACTAGGCAATCTCAAGGCAATCTCAAGCACCAAAGATATCATAGGCTTTGTTATATAGAAAGGTTTCTTTAAATAGTGGCAATATTTAACGGATAGTTGACTTAATAGTCAAAGGTGACTTATACGGCGTTTACATTGTGAGATTAAAAGCAGATTAAAGTAATAATCTCGTTCTTTAAGCTCACATTTCCCATGCAAAAGTTAATTTTCTTTTGGTGGAGACTAAATTTTAATCTCCTTAGAAATGGTGATTATTTTTCTGTGCAACTCTGCAAATATCTTAATAACGTAGATTGAAGAGAAATAACAAAATCTATTCAAAATAAGTATTTACAATTTAAAAATGCCGAAATGAGTTAAGTTTTTATTAAATTTTTTTAATAACAGTTTCGTATATAATTATAACTAAAATTTGTTAAATTATTGTCACAAAACTATTTATTAAATTTATATTATATTATATTTACAGAAATTTATCAAACATACGAAACAAAACATGACAAGAAAAACCCCAAAATTAATCTCCAATATATAATGTAAACAATGGAGATTCAAAATACAGATTAATCTCGTTCACTTTATCGCACAATGTTAACGTAGTGATATAGTCAATTAATGCGAATTTCTTACTAATTTTTCTTAGACTAAAAATAAAACCATTGAAGTCCCAAATTATATATGGAGATCGCTGAACTCCTTGCGTCGGTTTAAAAAAGGATTATTCAATACCAACTTATATACGATAGTAAGTGCTCCAATATAACCGCCACTAATGTTCAACTCTTACAAGGTTTTAATACAGGTTTTAATAGTATTCGCCACATATACCAGATTTTCTGCTTACTGATAGTACCAAACATGGATTGAAATCACCATCCACGATCAAGAAAATAATGTTCCCGAAATATAAATAATTTGATGTCATTAAAAAAATCCTTGCTGAAAACTGTCAAGGAAGTTGAATATTCCGGTATTCGCATATCATGAAGAATTAGAGCTCTGACTTTGTAATAACAGACGGTGTAAAGTCCGTGCATGATTGTGTGACCTTACAGTAACAGACGGAATGCAGTTAATGGATGTTTGTGGCAGCATATTTTCTAATTTGCCTTTCAGAATAAGATTTTTTTCACTTTTGTTTGTACCATTGTATCCAGTGCCTTTAATTTGTATAATTTATTTATTTTTTATTTATCATCGGTCAGGTCATGTAATATGGAGTTGCAGGTACATTTTGTAATAAACTGAATATCATCAGAAGCAAAAAAAAAAAAAGCACAAACGAATTTATTTTGTTACTGAAAACCGCTCCTATAAATACTCATAAAAAATACTACGATAAAAAATTTTAAAAAGCATCCGCTCACTTCGTGGAATCCTTTAAAAAAAGGACATGACGTTCTGTCTATTTTATAATTTTAATGGTGAAATATCCGTATAACTGCGATATTGTTCACTCATATATTGGTTCAATAAATATTTGTGTTTTATTTTAATTTATGTGTATTTTTTTCGTACATTTTCCAGTACATCTGCTATCTATCAAGCGTTAAAACAGGGACGATATTTCTGCAACTACAAGTGCAACCATTGTTCATTTCATAATTGTTGTTGCCGTCATATTGCTTCAGTTCGGTGTAGTTTTCCTTTGTCCTTGTCAGGAATCAGAGCTGACTTCCATAGTGGCCGATTTTGGCTGCATTGCGAATATTTATTAATCGGCCTTTTGCAGTATTTATTGTTTATTTTCAATTACAGTTGAAAAAAAGTGAAAATTAAATTAAAGAAAAATATTTAACGTCATATGTTCCATTCAAGAAAAATTTATATGGACTATGTTAATATAAAAATAATTTTTCTCCATCTGTTAATAAATTACTTTTTGTTTGTATATAAATAATATGTTGTTCAATAAGATTGCGAAGTACTTCGATAATAATCAAATCTTTGACTCGCTCTAAAAATTCTTCGTTTATGACCCATTTAAAGCTGAAGTATTAATGACTTTTTTAGAAATGAGAAAGAATTCAGCAATTAGTAAAAATTAATATTATTATTCATTCCATTAGCACCATTAGACATTGCGTGGAAGTTTAAGCTCCATTTGAACAAGATTTAACTTCAAATGCAATTTTGAGATACTTTGCGTGTTTTTCCCCTACTTCACGTTGTACAACCAATAACCTCAAGGTCCCTGATCGTCTAACTAAGTGATCGCATAAAGTCAGCTATACAGTATAGTTTACTTTGATATACATTGTTTTTCATTCAAGTACTCTCTAGTTACCCATGAATGGCGACGTTAATACTGGGTATATAATACTTTTTCAATCGGTTGTGTCAAGGTTCTTAATAATTTAAATAAGTAATCTTACTGGATCAGTTATCCATTGGAGTTTGTTTTTTTAATGATGATTTTTATATTTAGTACTAAATTATTGCGGGATTATTGACCGGTCACTGTATATTGAATAATTTCCAATCGAAGTTAGGAGTTCAATTCAACTCAGACTGCAGATACTATAGAGAAGAGAGAGAAACTGCAAACCATGTGCATGGGAAGTGTCCGGCACTGATGCACAAGCGGAAGAAACACCTAGGAGGGTATTTCATGGATCATAAGGATCCAAGTGTAGAAAAGATAGGCTCTATACTGTCTTTCATTAAAGAAATCGAACTTGGAGAAAAACTCTTATCCGATTAAGTGGCACAATAGATGTTTTAGGTCGCTGTGCACGATCCCACTTAAGCACAGAGATATTGGCCCTACGTATGCAATTTATAACATTATTCGATACATTCACTGTTAAAAGATTTATATGATCTGTTTGTCATATTTGATAGTTCATGTGTTTGCTACGGGATAAAGTTACTTGACTCTCCAAAGTATTGACTAAGTAAAGATTTTTACTGTTAGTTCTAACTTTATATAGAAATATAGAAATAATTTTGTAGGTTTTGTAGTTGTCAAGCAATGCGACATGTAGTTTCTTCAGAATTTCGTTTAATATAAGTTGTAAGGAAGTCTAAGAAATTGAAATTGTCATTTGAATTACTGCCTAATTAATATTTTTTTGTATTATGACAAAAAAAATCTGTCTGTGAATAGAAAAGAGAATTTCGATATTTAAAAATTTGATTTTTATCTAAAATTTTATCTATCTTCTACTTAAAATTTTAATGTTTTATCAATGCTGTGGTTGACCTTATATTTATTTCTTGTGCTCAAACCTCTAGCTCTAGCTGTTTGAGCTTGTGCTCAAACCCCACACCAAACTGGAGATTTATCACTGTCATGCCCTCATAACCAAATAATAGTTACAAGGCCATATATGATCGATAGCCACTGAAAAACAGCAACGGAGAAACTATAACTACAAAAATATATATAAAAACTCTACTTAGCCCTACCAATACCTATGTTGATGCTCTGACTTACTCACATATAATAACTACTCTAATTTATAGGTATATAGGTATAAGGTATAGCTATAATTGGCATAACATAATGAGTATGATTAGTATTAGTATGACATAAATTTTGGTCCTGTTAGGTATACAATATTTCACTACTGTGGAGTATGTGTCATCAGTAGTCTTTAAAAACATCTATTGGCTTAATTGTTTATACATAGTTTTTGGATTGTACATGTCAGAAATGATCCCCATAGTCTGCAACTTTTGTCTGTCTGCAGTGCTGTAGTCCTGATCTTTGTTTTAGACACTTTCATTTCTAGGTCGTAATATCCACTGAAGATCGTAAGCATATTTGTTTTGAAATTTTCTAAATTATATTTTAAATATTTTTTTTAACAACTTCAATGACAGTTTTTAGCTTTTTTTACCTACATTAGTCACAGTATAAAAGCAAATAATATGAATAATTGCATTTTTATTAAGATTAATTGTGGTTAGACGTATTAATTTAAGTAAAAAAGTTTTGCTCTTTTTCGTATAAATGCAAAATGGTTGTATGGGTTGTATGTACTCATTGACTTTCAACACCACAAGATATATTTCAATATATTGGAATAAATCAGATAAATGCTTACCATAAGCACATAAGCATGTAAACCAAAAATACCGTACTTACCTTCAACACAAAAATATCTCCAGTGGTGCGGTTTATATCAAATTTACTGTTTGCTGGATTATCTGGGTCAATACCTTGTCCGGTGAGGAAATATACAATATTCATTGGTCTATGTACATCGCCATCGGTGGCCGTAACCTGTAAGTACAAAGCACACACAAAGGCAAATGAATCAAAAATGTTCACATTAAAAAATATTATGCATTGTGGCTGACTGGATGCATGCCTGCCGGGACTATATGCATTATAGTAAAACCAAGTGCATAATAATAAAGAATGCTTGAGATTTATTTTTCAAAGATTAAAACAAAGTGAAAACAGTAACAGAAATAACAGAAATAACAGAAATAACAACAAAATATGAGATATTAAGGCTACGGGATATTATAAACCATTTTAAACGCCCCAGAATATGTATAAGTACTCTCATAATTACACGCAAAAGCGACATAAATTATTATTAAGAATTTCATAATTAAAATTAAATATTAAAAATATTTTATTAATTTCTTTAAAGGTATGCAGTATAAAAAATAATATGCAATTTGTTACAATTTTATTTAATTGTTGACTTTTCTTCTCGTTTGGGTTTGTGTGAATTTTTGCAGAATTTTTAATGATACCAAAATTATATATAAAATCCAACCGCATATTTCGTTTTAAGGGTTTGCATTTATTTTATTTTATATTATTTTATTTTATTTCGTATTATTTCATTTAATTTTTTTTTAATTTTTCAAAATAAACCGAAGGATTGTAAGCTTTGCATTTCCGCTTAAATTGTTTTACTGTGTAAATTGAAAGCAATTTTTATTTGTGTTCTTTAATTTATTTTTATTTTTATTTTTATTTGAATTTTATTTATTATTGTTTTATTGTTTTACTGTATTATTTTTATTTGATTACGTATATTTTTATTTATTTTTATTTTCGCATTTTTCGAATAAAATTACAATGGCAGAGGTAAAGATATCAATTGGGTTACTTGAAACTTTATAGCATTCTGCATTGTTACATGGAAATCCGCCGCTGTATAAACTAACAATGCCAGCAGCAGCGTATTGTCGGCGGCGTGGTGTGGGGAATGGTACGAGCAGGACTTCAATGTTGTTCAAATAAATACTTTTTCAATAATTCGAATTACTTTTTGAAAGAAATGTTAAAATAAAACAGTAAACAATTTATCAATATAAATAATTCGTATAAAGAAATTCTTTAATAAAAACTTTCAAATGTTTGATGCTCAGTGTTACGGTGGCAAAAAAGTGATTGTTGAGTTGAAAATATAGAAGGAAAGTTTCGAAACAGAATAAACCATAAATAGAACCCAAGGGAACATTTAGTGGCAGTTATAGAGTAATTGCAATAGTAATTGTTGTAATCCTTTGAGCGGCAAGTTTCGAAACAGAATAATCCAAAAATAGAACTCAAGGAAACTTTCAGTGGCAATTATAGAGTAACTGTAATAGTAGTTGTTGTGACCCTTTGAGGGTAGACTTTAAAGACTCTAAAGAGTGAAAGCATATAGGTCAGTCTATTATAAACGGCACGAATGCTGCGAATATTGATTTAATCACCCTAGATTGGGCTGAAATTTTATATGGTATATGAGCTTATCCAAAAAAAAACTATACCAATAAAGAAATGAAAGATTCTCTAAATGCGGAGACATACTAGCGTACGTGAAAATGATTCTGCAGATAAACTAGTCAGGAAATGGGCAGTTACGCAGATGGTGGGAGTGGTACCTTTCTGTGGAACCAGAACAATAAAGAATTAATAAGATGATTAGCCAGTATTAACACAATCTAAATCACTTGTTAGTGTTTATAACAATACGAGACACCAATATTGTATGGACTTATCAAAAGAAATACTTAAAATCATCACAAGAGTCTAAACAGAGCATTGAAATACCACTTTACCAGAATGGGCATATTTACGAACGTCAACTATAGATTCTGTGCAGAGAATGAAGAGTTAGGCACACATGTACAATCCACATCTATACTACCTATGGCTTAGAGACATGCTCTAAACGGAGACAGACGAGGCAAAATAAGCTCTACGATTGTAAGTGCCATATCCCATATTACATATAATCACAATAATAACAATATCTAAGATAATAAAAAAAACCATAACTAATTTTAAAAGTTTTAAAATTCTTTCTTAGATGATACGGATGTTTGGAGTTTTTAGAATTTGCATTTTAGATTAACATCAATTGATATTTCTATTATTCCTAATTGACAAATAAAGTATTTTCATTTTAAAGGCAATTTAATAAAGATTTTATAAATAGTTTAAACGAACGAAAATGTATATTGATGTGACTATTTATACTAAAGGTCCTATGCTCCGCGAAGAGAAGAGTATTACTAATACTAATCGTTAATTAAAAATCATTCTTTTTATCAAATTAAGAATTTAAAATTTTTATATTTAATGAATTGGATTCATCAAATTTTACTTAGAAACTAATATATTGGTCATGACATTACTGGTCATGAAAATTACTGGTAAATATGAAAGGAATATGAGAGGGGAGTAGGAGTAGAGTTAGGTTATGACTGCAGTCCTAGAAATTCTTTTAGAATTTTTATGTTAGCACATTGTACAAACTTATTGATTTCGATGCGAAATAGCTTCTCGGAAAGATAAAGCTTCAAAAGATGAGCAGTTCGAAATCGAAAAGTGTCGTAACTCCAGCTAGATTTCATTTAAAATTATATGTTATTATTTTTTAATTCCTTGGAATAAAATATTTTTTCTATAATAAATTAAGAGCTTGCTCTTAATATATTGTACTTAAAAGTTGATTTAGATAATGAGTTTTATCTGACAAATGCTAAAAAGGATGATTAGGTTTTACTGTTATCTACTTAACAAGGATAACAATGGATAGTGGACAACGAGTTCATATAAAGAAAAAGGATAAAAAAATCTAATAAATGTTAAAATGTTTCTATTTTGCAGATTTAGATTAAATTTTGGTTTGAAGATAAAAATTTGTATAGAAATTCAGCACACAGACTTAAGCTCGGCTTTGGCTGTTGTTTTTTCACTGTTGTGGGCTACAAATTGTCAGGTTGTACTTTCGTGTCTTTAAGACAAATTATGACTTTTTAAGAAAAGAAGTTAGAAATTTGTGTTTGCTAATATGTATTTCACAAGAATGGATAGTGGATAAGGACTGCTTGCTTAGAAAAATTTTAAAAATCTAACAAATGCTATAAAAGAATAATTAGTATTTACTTATGTGTGCTTCACAAGAATAGTAAGAATGGTAAATAAGCAGTTCTTCTTTAAAAAAGTTTAAGAAATTAATAACAAAATTTAAATACTAAATAAAATATAGGTACATAAATTTCAGTGTTTCCTAAATATATATCATAATTGTTCTAAAATTACCTGTAGTACACGTTTCGGCAGATTGCGATCGTCTTCTTCTGTAATTTGAGTGCGATATGTTTGACGATCAAAAACCGGTGGATTATCGTTGACATCCCGCACATTTATGACGACGGTGGTGTAGTTTGATTTGCGATTACGAGAGGCTTCTAGGCGGAGCTCATACTGTAAATAAAGACATATATAATAAATATATGTATCTTGCAAAATAGAAGAGACCTGAAATATTTAAAAAATTTTTTCACGTTTTAATAGCGAAACGTTTTTATTTACAAACTCAACAAGCAGCTTAAAATTGTTTGAACTCTAATGACTTTAGTTTGTGTGTCTATAGTCAACTTAAATTCGACAAATTCTTTTAACTAGTGCATTGCATACTAACTAAAAATAAGTAAATACACTACTTCCACTTATCTATGTACGATAATTGTTGCGCGAATGCATATCTGGCATTATTGTTTCATGCAAATGCCATACACGAATATATGGCATATGAAGCTAAATTGCAGTAAAACTAATCCGCAGCAATATTTTTGGATCACAAAGTTGCCTGGAAATAATCTCGATTTTATCTACTCTGCGTAATATTGCATAAACTTCAAATGTGAATAATTAAAAGCAAACATTTCTCAGTAGAGAACATTTTCATATTTTCACATTTTCAGATTTTAACATTTTTACATTTTTCTGCAAACAAAGTGAAATTTACTTTGCAACAATTGTTTGCCTTCATATTGCCTGCATGTAATTCCATACTCTTCCTATTGTTATGTACTTTGGAAGTAAATATTAACAAATTTATTTTGCAGTTTCAGTTTATAGTTTGTTTGTTGTTGGAAATATATTTCAACACAGCAATAAATTGTCATTCCTTCGAGCTTTATTTTTATTAAACTATATTATCATTTTGTTTTTATTTCGTCCTTTATGTAAACTCAGCATGTACGCCCGCTGTTGCGTCGATGTTAACAACAGCGCCGAAGCATGTTTAGGCTGCAGTTTCTACCAGAACAGAGCTGCGTTGTAACTTCCTATCAAAAACATAATTGTTCAGATTGTATTGCCGGTTCAACAGTACGCGTAAATATGCATAAATTCAAATTAGAAGATATTGAGACATAAACGAAAATTCAAGTTTAACGGAAACGCATTTAAATGCTAGGGATGGTTAAGCTTTTCTTACTATATTTATTTTCTTATATTTTATTAGTAAGTCTAGTACTATATTCTCATATCATTTTTATGATCAAAGTAAATTTAATCATAGTAATTAAGTTATCATATTATTTATATAGTCGTTTAGTTATTTATATAGTTATATAGTTCATTACTGAAAATTATATCAAGTATTGAGTTATATTTATATAATAAAAATAGAGGTTTTTTCGAAAAGTAGTAAACTACAACAACAAAAATTCATTTTCATATTATTTTAATTAATTGAATTTTTGGCTGACTATATAACTGTTTTATCAGTGGTCTTGGAAATAGTTCTTATATTAAATAATTCGTAAATAATTTTTTGGGAATGCATGTACCAGGAATCGTACTCGTGTCCTGCCAAATTTGAAGCACAGAGTCAGCGCTCCTTAACCAAATGACTCAAAGTCGTACTTGACTTGTATATTCGCATATTTTTCTGGAGTTTTGTTACTTTTGCTATGAAAGTTTTTATTAACAGTTTTACTTGATGTGTTTATATTAGAACGTAATTATAAACGAGCTGAGGAGCGATTGAATTAATTAATTATATTATATTTTTATTTTTATCTTTAATTGATCAATTTCATTACTATTCTGTATGGAGAGGCATTATTTGTTGCATGATTTATATATTCTTTCTTATGTAAAGAATTTAATCTAGGAACGCAGTACTGTTAAAGTCATGCTAATGTTATTCCACGGCATAATAAATCACTCAAACATTTGTACAGACATTGAATAACTTTTTTTTTTGTCTCTGACCACAAAATTTATCATATATAGGATTCGTATTTGATGACCTTAGTTTGACGTTAGGCTAAAGAGCAAGCTTGGCCCTATATTGACGCTAAGGTATCCTTTCTCAGTAGAACAGAGTTGAGGCTGCTGGCGAGATATTTAACGGATCACCACGGATTACGTTACTATCTTAACAAATTGGATCTGCCCGAAGAGATAGATTGTCGACTCTGCTTAAAAGCAGACGAGACTTTCAGTCACATTCTCTGGATGAAACTGTCCAGCTTTGATCTGGGCCAGGAACAGGTCACTGGGTCGAGAAATACTTTCTGATATTAGGAGGTCTTTAACGGCTAACATTTTGGGTTTTATTCGAAGAGCAGAATATCTTCTGTTCAGTTAGGGTCTGTAGCAACACAAAAGATCAATCATGGTCGCAATGTTGCGCTCCGTTAAGAGACGGTACTCTGTTTATTTCTATTCTATTCTATTCTACCAGTTTGAAGATGCCATATATTATTAACTAATATTTTTGTCCATTATTGTTTAGCTTATCAAGAAACTCAATAATCAAGTTTGATACCACTTTATGTGATTTTGGAGCCTTGATTGCTGCCTTATAATTAGAAATTCATCTAATCTGAATGATAAGTTCAAGTACTTAAATTTTATTCAATTAGATTATTTCTTGCAAAATTAAACACATTTGAATTTGTCAAATGTTTTATTAAATCATATTAATCAAAGATTTCAAATTTTTATTAACACACTTACCCTAGGTCTTGTCTCGTAATCTAAGGGATTTGCTACATATATTGCTCCGGTATTATTTTGCACACCAAAGGCATTGCCTATGTTACCGCCTGTGATCTGGTATCGAATATTCGAGGCTAAAAATATATAAGATAATAAATAATTTTTATATATACATAAGAAAAAGATAACATCTTATTTTATTTTTGAGGATGAATGTAATATTTAATAATTTTTTTTAAGTTAACTATTCCAATAAAAATTTTTTATAATAATATTTTCCATAAATTATTTGTTTAATTTTTATATTTCAATCAGTTTTTAACCAATTAATAGTTTAAAGTAAGAAAATAGTAATGCATTACTTGATACGATAATATAATAAAATATAGTATGTTATTGATGTAAATATTAAATTAAATTTAATTAAAAACTTAAGGCGTTAAAATTTTTGCAAGGAAAACCTAACTCTGAAGATTTTAAGAGCATTGTTGTTGCTTGACATGTTTTCTTTCGTAAGTTGCGAGTATTTTTTTGCTGCTCTGAAAGAAAAAATAACGTTTAAAAATACCGATTATTTTCTGCTACTACAACTAGTCAAATCTGATCAATGGGAATGCGCTTTTTATGGTTAGCTGAAGAAAACTTGACTTAAATGCTATTCTTAACTGGATTCAGAGGAACATAGTTCGATACGTCTAGGATTACATCCTAGTCAAGCATAATGTTGAGTCAAAATATTTACTGTTCCATAACCCTTAATGTTACTATGCTCTATGTTACTAACCCAGATAGAAGTAATATTGGTTAGTCGGTATAGCAAGTCAATTTCTGCGCTGGATTTTTCAAGTAACGTTGCTTTTATGGTTGGGAATTGAACATCTCTAATTATCACTTGACTGCCAGTTAAATTGGCTACAGAGCATCTATTCCTGTTGTTGGCGATATGTTACTTTATTTATGAAAATTTTAACACTAAATGGGTTTATAATTGTTGGTCCTTATTCCACAGTTCACTGTTAAGCCAGCAGTGAAAATTGTTACATCGTGTTTTGTTAAAAAGTTTTTGCTTATCCAATCCATTTCTGCGAAGAAATATTAACTAAAAGTAGCTTTCAAAGTATAAGGATAAAGTTGAATAATCAAAATTCGTGGTCAAAATTCGGCTGACACCACATCTAGTTTCAGCTCAGCCGTCCGTAGTTTTTAGTCTGATGGGGTTGTTACAAGGGACATTCATAGTTTGAAGGTTAATATAACATAGAGCAAATGTGTTGTCCATTGAATTACTTTTTAGATTCTTTCATAATATTAATATAACATCGGGAGTTACACAAAGCCAGAGAAAATAAAAAATAAGATTTTCTGATGTTCAATATATATTTTGTTAACAAAAGCGAGAAAAAGTCGAAATGTCCATCGGTGGGACATATCAAAGAAATGTTACGAAAATGGTTTAAAATGTCGATTTTTCTAATTGAACAATTAAGTCTAATTAAGTAAAGCTTACGTTTCCTTTATTAAAACTTATTTAAAATTAATTTAAAATTAATTTTAAATCTCCGTAAATCAAACGTTGCTCTGAGAATAAGTTTCAAATTAAACATATTGTCAGCAAAGCTGGAATTAGTCAGCGTATCGAAATGGGAAAGTAATCCTTTTACCAAATTGCTACAAATTGTTGCTGCATTGAACTTTTGAATTACGTGACAAATCCGTTTCCGATACGCTCCGCTCGTAAACTAAGCTTCAGCAAAATTTAACAAAAAATAAATAATTCATTTACTTTGGGAATCGGAGCATTTCGAAGTGTAACACACAGCAAAAAGCATTGTTAACTTGATTATTGTGCTGACGACTTACAAGGTTCTTTGTTGAAATCTTAGTAAAATAAATTCCACTTAAAAAAGAAATTTTACATACAAAAGTTGTTAAGAGAAAAGAATAAAATAAAATAAAATAAAATAAAACACTTATATCGAATATATATGAAGAATTACGAGGTGCAAAGGATTCTTTTTGCAGTACACACAATGTTCATTGTAATATTAAGTATTTATTTTATAATATTAATTCTCTATATACATATATATATTAAATCGTTTTACTCCTAGAAGGACTATAGGGCCGCAATTCATTCTCTGTATAAAGCAAATAAATTAACTTCATTATAATGGCAAATGTTCGACAAAGCAAAGAAATTGTCTCAAAATATTTTTTGTGTATTGGTTGCATGTTAAACTGTAGCATAATTATAAAGGAAATTTTTCTGCTGCGTTCTCAAAAGAAATTATTACTCCAATTGTTGAGTTCTTATTAGCTTTTATTTTCTCAGTTGCAAAAAGTAAGGTCATCAAATTTCTGGGGTCACAAATAATTGAAAAGCCTGTTTTCCCTTGGACCTACTGTTCATCATGAAATTTCATTAAAACCTATTCATATTTTAATTATTGATATTAATTATTATTATTAAATATTTAATTAAAAGCGACTATACGTCTTTTAAACCGAAAACAAAGGTGTCGTAACCGTATCCTAGGAAAGGGGTCTATTTTATAGGGGAGTTCAACATATATTAGGTTAGATCATGTTAGAATGACAACTTTGTGTTCCAAATAAAACGCAAATTTTGTCGTCTAGACTTAAAGAACCAACTGAAAGGTATATATTTCAAATATCTTGTGCATAAATAGAATTTTTTTGCTCCATTTCCTATTCACGCAGAAGAGATCAACCTAATGAGTCTATAAACGTAGACATGTTCTTAATTTTGAAGAATACCAGCTCTTTCAGGTCATTTAGAAAAAGAGTTCTAAATAGTTTTAATCTTCTCTTAGGCAATGATGAGGAATGACACATAAGGTGAACTACAGTTTTAGTTTTTTCCTCAACTGCTGGGGTATAATCCCATCAGAAGTCGTTAGAGGTTGGACAAAAAGTTCATAATATACAATGGCTTATCAGCACCAATACTATAGTACTGAGTTAATTTTACTTTAGTTGAAGCAGCTGACTGCTACGAATTTTATTTAAATAGGAGTAAAAAAGTCTTGTGATCTGACATGAATAACTATTTATTTGCCAATTCTGGGTATTAATGCTTTGGGAGTCACTTTAGAGGTTGCAAGGCGAAACCTGTATCATAAAATATATGATTTTATAAAAGTTCAATACATTAAGGGAAGACTACTATTAGTGTATATCGTATCTTATGTCTTATGTTGAGCCTTTTCTGAGTTAGTGCATCTGGGCATTTTTACTCTTTCCTAGCTGGGGGATTTCTGCGGAGTCCCACCATTCTCACTGATAATTTATGTCTTCCTCAAAAGCTTTAATCTTCGAAAAGCCTGTCTTTGAGCAACTTGCAGCTTCTGGATAGTAGAGTTGGCAGCTTTGCTATACGCGACACACTCGTAGAGTAGTGCTGGTCTGATTATCTGGCTATAGATCAGCTTTCCGTTCTCAGTGCTAAGGTTATTGAAAGGTTTGAAAAGTGGTTATAAGCAGTGCAGTGTTTTTTGAATAAACATCAAAAAATTTATTCCGTAAATTCGTTTTTGAAAAATGAACACTTTTCCTTACTTTTTAGTCACAGATTGTCTTTAATAAATTATTTAAACAATATTTTTTGGAAACACGCTGTTTACACTGACCCTGTATCTGCTTCACGTTAAAATTGTTCACATTGTTGTGGATATGAAGTTTTGCAATTATAATTTGAGTATCACAGAATTTTGTTCTCATCCTCTGTTATGAAAATATGTAGTTAAAGCAAGAGGGATAAATATTTAATGCAGAATTGAAGTAGAAAATAATGCTATTGAGGAAAAAAAATTTATGCTAGTATGACCTCAAAAATATGACATTTATATGTGAGAGTTTAATTTATTAAGTGCGGATAAATTTTCAGTTAACAGCCATTATATTTATTAACAACGTTAACAGACCTGCGTGCCAACACCTACATACGAGTACTTCCACATAACTAAGGTTTTTACTTCCAAGCTGCCCTACAAACTGTGAAATTCAATTCATTAAATATCTTCATGAAGCTGCAAAGGAATAAGCCTTTCCGATAATATTTCTACATTTACGCGATTATCCATACAATACCTTCCATATTGGTATTTGCAGCATTGAAGCCAGAGTTGTGAATTCTGGACTATAGATGGCTGTATGTCATCAATTGCTATATAATATTTGAAATATACATTTGAGATGTTTTCAAATTTTTGAAGTATTTCAGTGCCGTTGCAGACTGGAATATAATTTTTATTGTGTGTCTGTTAGTTTATTTATATATTTTATTCTACGTGAATATAAATCTTTCGGCGGAGTAAAAATGCCAGAAGGACTTTGGGTGCTCAAAAGTAGTAGAGCATTATGTGGCATTGTTTGTGTGATGATACGTGAAAAAGGTTTCTTCAGCTGCAAGGATATGTATGGCATATCCTTTTCACGTGTTTAATGCTATTAATTTTGTTGAGGTATCAAATCAACAGCACCTTTTGTGTACCGACCTTTGCTCAAAGTTTTTGTTACTGCTTACTATACGAGTGTATGAGAAAGGTAATTTTAGATATTCTTAACCAATTTTTCATTTTTTAATTTTGAATTAGGCTATACATAATTAAAACATATTTTTTCTATTTTTAATACAAATTATAATGAAAAAATCTTTTCTAAATTATTTAAATGCAAAATGCAATTAGTTACTGTTGTAGTGTCTCCTCAAATATTTTTAGGATATAATTTTATTGAGCTTACTTGGAGTGAATAATTATAATTTTTTTGTAGTTCTTAAAATAAATTATATATAAAACACGTGTATTAATTGCATATTAAATTAACATATATATAAATTATATATATACTTTATATTAAATGTGGGACGTTGGGACAGCGCACTGTACAACAAGTGACCCCACTGAAATGAATGATTAATCGAAGTAGACCACGAAACGAATTGTATCCATTTTCGTTCTTCGAATTCTTGGATGTCGTTATTAATCTTTATTAAGTTAAAGCTAAAGTGGTTTTCGTTCGCGAAACTACATCTCTTGTGATTGCAAGCAGTTTATTTAGCTTGAGTTGGCCTGCCAAGTCATCACCAACTCAATGGTGTCCCGAGCCAGTCATCTTCCCGCTTGCCAGTGCTGGACATTGGCACAATATACGCACCGCTGTCTGCTTTTCTTTTAGACATGGTCTGTATAGTCTGTCTTCCTCAACAAGAGTTATTTTTTTGAGGTGATACTTGTAGTTTTCATGTCCAGTAATCAATGAGGTCAGCCAGCTTATGCTGCTCTACGAATAACTGAGCACTGTTATCGCTTCCCTGAGCAACGATTTCAGAAACATGAGTTTAGTCTGTCTACAAGTGCCTATCTATTTGCATCTGTTAAGATGAAGTGCAGTTATCCACTTATCGACATATGCTGCAGTTGTGTTGTAGCCCAATGGTATTCTGGGCTCTGGGCAATTATATACTATGTTAAATAATTTATAAAGTAATTATATATTAAATAATATTTAAATTAATTTTATATTAAATATACAAAAATTCAAATACTGTCATATATGTAGTATTTGTAAGTCTTATTCATATCTCAATCATCACTTTTGTAATACATTTCCAAAGATGTAATATGTTCAGCGATTGCAAAACGAGCTATATTCTGAAATGAAATGGTAATTCTGAAATGGTAACAGTGCTTCTAAGTTAATCATAAAAGAAATAACTACTTCGCTGGCGAAGAGAAGATAATAAGTAAAATATTTATCCAGATAATATGGATTTTTGTTGGTCTTCAAATGATTACTACAGTTAATATAATTAACATTGTCGAACTCATATATAAATTTAATTATTTTTAATTGGCACCAACTTCTAAGCCAGTGTATTTAATACAACATATAATCTCTATCAAAAGGCGATAAATATAGAATATAGAGTCAGTATTAAGAGTCAGTCAAGGAGTTGTATAAAATTTTCAAGTCATCTATTTACAGATGGTATCTGACAGAAGCAGTGGTGCACCTAAAATTACGAAAATTCGGAAAGTTCAAAAAGTCACTATATTAACAAACTGCCTATATATCACGTAATATTTGTATGAAGAGGCGGAATATAGACTAAAAAGTTGTTTTATATAGATGTTATAAAGTGGCTATCTTTATAAAAAAAGCAATTTTGATCGAATTTCTTCTTGCGTCTGAGTCTTTTTCTGTACAATATTTATACTACCGAATTTCTACGGAAAGGGAAATGTGATTCTTTCACAGTCAAAGAATCAAAGGAACCCCTTGACTGTGATTCCATTTCAGTAAAAAATGTGCACATTTAAGATGCTGTTTAGATATATAAAAAAATTTTTAATATTTTAAGATCTTTAAAACCTTTCGAATATGGACTATAAAATTTTTATTAAGTGTTAATATTTGATGTTGTCATTAAACAACAAATTTAATACACCGAATGCACTCTAAAACATCTGACAGGTTATAGGTATACGTATATTGGTAAAAATTGTTGCTTTGAGAATTGCCATGTTAAGTAACATGAAATCGAAGGCCGATCTGTTGCCTATAAATCAATTTGCAGTTTTATGAATGTCGACGAAATTTTAAATCATCCCTTTGGAGTCTTAAGCTCGTTAGATATTTGTGGAGTTTTACCTAACAAATTATCACTTAAAGTTGAAGTGTCAATCATTGTTTAGCATAACATTAAAAAAATATGTTAAATGTTATTAAAGCAATAATTTTGAATATAAATCCCTTAAAAGAAGCTTCCATCACTGTCGTCTTTCGCCTAAGTTATAAAGCAAGTCAATCGATGACTGAAAGCATATTGTTACTTCGTAAAATTCAAATTTTAAGTAACAAAGTTTTATTAATTTTCAAATAAAATAATTTTTGTTATTGTCTTTAATGGATATTTATTATTTATTTCTGCTCTTATTTACAACTACCAAATCAAGAATATCACGATTAGAAATTCATTAGAGTTTACATATCATCCCATAATAGCCTTGACACGATATTTCTATTAAAAGCTTCCGGCTCAATTTTTCCACAATTAAACAAGTCCACTGCCGTCCACTGTATCCTTTCAGGACGAAAGGATCTATCTCAATTTTTGGTGTTTAATATTTGCTTTAATTTTTTTATTATAATTCGCCTGCTTTTTATTTATATTGCGAATCTTTGTACTCTCGCTACCATAAATAATTTTTCGCTCATAAATTCCAAATGTTATACAATTTTAGCATAAAATGCTTTGTTTTTTTTTCGTTTCTCAATATATATGTACATTTATCTATATAAATTTTCTTTTCTCGAAATTAAATATACTTTACTGTTGTTCTTTGTTTAGGCAAATGTTTGACTTTGTAGTTGGAAGCCAAAGTATATTTTCGATTTGTAATTGTAAACAGACTCTAAGGCGTCTAAGGTCTTTTTGTCTATTTCAACTCGAGTACAGAAGAATTTTTATTAAATATTTTAATATGTTTTGAATTTCCTTCTGTAATGGAAAACAAAAGTTACGATATAAAGCACGCACACAGATACACGGATACACAGATATCGGCTATACATATCGTATTTGTATCTGTGTGTAATATGATAAACTCTTTTATTGGTTTGTTAATTTTATCTTCGGGCTCGTAAATCACAAACAAATGCGTCATATGTGCTTAAAATATTTAGCAGACATCAGCTGCCTTTGTCGAAGGATTTTTCATATTTATGTGATATATATTTTGTGATAAAATATTACTGAAGTGTTTATAATATCAATGCTGTTGTTGAGGTGCAAGGAAAATAATATTTTTTACACTTTCAATATTTTCACATTAAATAGATAAAATAAATATTATTTTTAATAGCTACACATTTTCTTAAATGCAGTATTTTACTTTTTGTTGCCACTGAACTGAACCGAATGACACATATGCGTGTGCCTAGGCTATTATTGCAAAGTAATTATACTTTTCAATATTATGGGTTAATGTGTATTATTATTCATAAAAATGTTAAAAAAAGGTTTTATGCCATAATAACGAACTTTTGAAATTGCTTTTCCTATTTGTTGCTATATGGATTTATGATAATTATTCTTTGCAATTATGGTTATTGATGGCTTGATTTCAAAAAATTATCTATATGATTAAGACTAGAGGTAAGAGGTAGCCAGAAAGGGTAAGTAATCTGGGCATATCGTTAACATCCTGCAAATTAGTACTGTGTTCTTTTTGTGATAAACTTTTTAATAAAAGATGGAAAGCCTCAACAATATGTTCTTATATACATGTTGTAATTCGGGCATTATTCACTAAAAGAAAATCCAATACTCTCATTGAGATGCTTCATAGCGAGCATCTATGGAACCATGAAACTATGCAGACTATGAAATCAGGCCATACAGAATTGATCTCCAACTATATCTGTCGCAGCTGTGGGAAAGACGATGAGCGTTTATCTCATCTACTCTAACTTTTCCCAGCATATGCACGGCGGTGACTCAACACTTTAAGAGGCCCCTAAAAATTCTTCCCTGAAGATCTTGATCAAATACAGAACTTCTTACTACACAGCGTTCTAAGCTTCGCCAAAAACTCTAGGCGAAGCTTTAAACCATGAGTTTTTTCACCATACGGTAACACAATGGGCCAGTAGCCTTAAAGGGGCTATCTCCCCAGAGATTGCCGATATATCTTAAAGTAAGAGTATAAACAATACAAACTACTATTCTTTGACTGTGAAAATGTAGTTTCAAACAAAAACCACTTATGCAGTCGAGAGTAACCTGAGCACACTCGCATAAGAAAATAAGATCATAGGTCTACCCTATTAAGAATCGGCAGTAAAATAATTCTTAAAGATGTGCGTAGTATATTTAAAATGATTTTCTAAATTTGAGAGAACAAAAATAGAAGACAAAGCTGTGCTGCGAAAAGAATAAAAAAATAAGAATAAAAAATCATGCTATAGCTTCCAACTTTTTTATGGAATATATTGGAGAAGAGTGGGTCTGGGTCTGAGTCTAGTGTATGCGTTAAGGAAACACTTATTGTACTTGTTGGCCTAGATTGAAGATGACGTTTAGAGCTATAGTGCAAGAGAGCTGCGTCGAAGTCAGAAAACGGATTATTCGGGTAAACTATCTAAGTAAATAACGGTATTCGAAGATATAATATAATTAGCAACATATAAGTTTCTTATGGAGATAATACAATGTTGATATAACTTTCAAAAAATTCATAGGAGTAAAATAGCGTATTTAAGCCAAGATTAATTTCTATAATCCAATATTTTATATATTTAATGATAAAAATTTTTTTTCCTTTACGGCAATTCATGTCATATCTAACTTGATAGTTTTATTCATTGTTTTCGAATAGTAAAATTTTATTGACAATTATACACAACGAAAAAAAAATTATTCAATATATATAATAAATATGTAAGTCAATCAATACAGTCCACTGGCATGATAATATTTATATATCTATATATTTCTATAGTAGGAAAAATTATAAACACTTACACTCATTGTGATCCTTGGCATTGACAGTGAGTACTGTTGTCTGCAAATCAGCATTTTCATCTATCTCAGTCTCGTATAGGAATCTATCGAAAAATGGTGGTGAATCGTTTTTATCGGCAATACCAATGCGTACAAATTTTGTAACTGCAAATAGAAAAGATAAACCATGGAAAATTATTTGTGAACGTCACATTAAATACGAGAACGAGTAATTAAAGGAAATTTATGGATATGAGTTTTTGCCACACCGAAGAAATCATCTACTAAATTTATACGAAATTATTCAAGTAACTGGAAGAAAATGTATAAATACTTATGAAATTATGACGGCAAGTGCGAGGATGCAATTAAAGTTGGCTTTCGTGGAGGGACGTGTCAAATGGCGAAGGCGAAGCTGACTAATGTGTGGGGTCATAATGACTTCATAAAATTTTCTAGACAAGCAATTTGATATTTGCGCGAGAAAGATTAAACTTAAATGCAGGACGATAAGGCAATTATAAGAGTTTTTAATGGTACATCAATTTATTAGATGAAGTTTCTGTGCTAGAGAGATGTGACTGAACTGAATAGAAGAAAAAATTTATTACATCTCAGTTTGATATATTTTAATGAAGTTGACACTTCTCTTGGTACATCTGCTTAATTGCTGAGTGGTCAAAAAGTAAGTGATTTTAGGATATTATTAATGTTTTATTTCGCACAGAGTCAGTTCAAAACGAATAAACATTTTTGAAATATGAAAAATTGCAACTTATTATTTATTTTATGGTATTATTAGAGAGAAGTAAAAGCTTTTAAAAATTAATTTATTTAGGTTTCAAGATTAAAAAATCTTTAACTTCTTACAGTAATTAAAGTTCACGAAAACTAATTTTGTTAATTTTAATTAGTTTTTAAGCTTACAAAGCTACTAAGTAGAATATAGTCAAAGGAACTTAATTTCTTTATCCGTACGGTGCAATGTTTTTTTTTATTTCCATCCAGAATTCCACTATATTGGAATATGGACAAAAATTGGTTGACCTCATGACATGTGAATAGGACTCAATGGTTTAAGTACAGTCTCAAAAAAATATTGTTCATCCTAAACAAGAGAAGAAGAGATCCTTATTAATTGAAATCAGTATTTGTTATCTTGTGAACTGTTAGAGAGTGACCCCGCATAATAATTATTTAAAACATTGCAATTAGATAGACTAAAAGAGACTTTTTTTCTTTTTCTTTGGACATGCTGTGCTCTTTGGGAGCAGAAAACAACTATTTAAGACAAACTGCTCTTTCTTAATATTGAACTTTAGAGATCTTTGAACACTTCGGAATAGATCACATAGTGTTGGCTTTTCAAGAAGGCAATCAAACCGTTGCTCTTCCTCGATTTTGAACTGAAGCCCGTAATAATGCACTTTAGAGATCTTTGAACACTTCGGAATAGACCAAATTGTGTTGGCTTTTCAAGCAGTCAATCAAACCAATGGCAAAAAAACGATTACAAACCGCAAATTTAGCCACTGGATTGAGTCCACTCTTAAATCAAACAGACAACCTCTTTTTGAATATTAATATGTGCAATAAAAATAATAAAATTTTTCTCTTAAAAACGTCACTATAGGTAGAATTAAGATTTCAAGTTGAAATATAATGCGACCGCGATATCTTGCTGGTGTTCCCATGCCAACATAATTCGAGTACAAAAGTATCGAATTACTGATTGCAACGAGAACTCCGATTTCGGCATTATTTTATAGGTTCTGAGGTATAGATTAGATGTACATTCTGACAAAATGTCTTATCCTTTACCAGAGAGTGAAGCTGTATTCGCTATATTATTATCTTGTTGAGATGAAAAAGCTAGTTTATATGTGTTATTATATGTGCTGAGGAAATGTGCGTCCTTATAGTTACAAGGCCGCATGAGATCCAAGTGGATACATAGAATGGGTAACGGTGTTCCGTCTTCACTGTTCAATATTCAATTAGAGTCTTAAATATTAACTAACTAATTCTATTGCATAGTTCTGGTACGCAGAATTACATGGATTGGTTTTTGCATGTAGGTATATCTGCGGCAGTATTGGAATAGCTCCGCTATTTCGATTTCGTTTCGTTGATTCGATGACACTTACAAGTACATAAAGTATCGATAAGTAGTTTTAAAATAATAATGCTTTGATTGCTGCTAAATTATCCATAACCATGCCAATATACACGTCATTAGATATTCTGTTCAAGAATATGGATTATAATACTGAACACAATTAAGAAAAGTTGGATTAATGGCATAAAAGTAATGTCAATGAGTTGGTTATGGTTGTTTTTAATGTCTTTGAATCAATAATCCCACCACATAATGTAGGTTTAAGTAATTTATTATTTTATTTTTTTAATTTTCAATAAATTTTCAATTATTTTGATTGAGCTTTTCAGAAGTGAACACACATATTTGGCTCACATCGACGAATTTTGGCAAGGGAAATGAAGTTTGTATTTATAAAAATTCTAGTTTTGCTAAAAGGATATGCCAGAAAAAACTTTTAATGCACCGTTGCTGCATATAAAATCCTGATTTGTTTTTAATTTCCTTTTCCATTTGGTGTTGGCCAGGAATTGCATTAATAAAATTTTATCTGCTGGAGGTCAAATAACAATGAATTTGATGGCCATATATGTGCGGCAAATAAAGATACTATTCCAGAACTTTTTCTATTTTTCTATTTCTATATGATTTTTATTTTTATCTGTTGAAAGTTTCATTATATATTTTTTTTTTTTTTGACTTTTACATGTAAGTTTGCAGTTTGTTAACTGCTCAAATGTTCAGACTTGAAATGTTGCTCAAATATTCTTAGCGGAAATGGATTTTAGTAGAAAGTTTAATTTTCTGGTTTTCAATTTATTTTCCAACTTAAAAGTACGAGAATGCCATTTGAGTTTTATTCAATATTTTACTTACTTAATCTATTCTTTTTTTTTCAGAGGTTTTCATAACAGTTTCGGTATCGCTAGTATTAATTCGTGCTTGTGATGACGACATGCTTAATTAATACATATGGGTAGAACATTTCAAGGTACTGAAATTTTTTTAGGTTACTATTACTCTTTGGTAGTATTGTTCTTGAAGATAGACGGCATATAGCAGTGGCAGACCATCTCGCAAAAAGTCACGTCTGATTAACTTCTAAAACATGGGTCAATTGTCATGCAATTGTGGGAAATGTTAACTGTTTCAAAGCATCTCAACTTTAAATCAGTAAATCTATTTATCATTTCGATAAAAGCGGCAACGTTTCCAATGTTCATACTAGTCACATCCGGTAGACACTTGAAGTAGGAAGATCGCAGAGGAAGTTCATGCTTTCCAACGAGTGTTACGTCATGACAAAATAAAAGAGTAATATTTTTCTGTATGTTTTCTATTCCTCCGGTACGAGAGTAATTGTTAAAAGGTGCGTACCGTGCTTATATTAGACTGTAAGCCTGAATTATTTGATGTCGTAAGTATGGTTTGATATGTGCACTCTTTGTACTCATTTTAGTTAATCGCTTTGAAATGTTATATGTTGTCTATTTATCTAAAGTTCACGTCGATTGGAACTGTGTTATGGCAGAGAATGAGTCGATTTTTCCCACTTCCAACCAACGTCTACTTTAGTTAATCGCTTTGAAATGTTATATGTTGTCTATTTATCTAAAGTTCACGTCGATTGGAAATTTTGTGTTTCGAACGAAATTTCGTGTATGGCAGAGAATGAGTCGATTTTTCCCACTTCCAACCAACGTCTACGCCTTCCAACCATGGCATAGTAATTAAGGACAGTGCTGCCAAACTACATAAACTTAAAATATCGAAAAATATACAGCGCGCGAATTTTAAATGAGAATTTCCGAAAACTTTTCAGTCTTAATGTATGAAGGGTGATAATTTTAAATTGATTGTATTTTATTTAGAGTTGTATTACATTCCAAGACAGTCCAAGAGATCTTATACGAAACAGTGTTTCCTCTGGTAATACTAATAAGGTATTAATAATAAAGGACAACAGATCTTGTAGACATATTGTAGAGGCATCAGTTAGGATCATAGAACCCAATATATACATATGCGAATCAATTAATTCATTATAGCGAAAATATCTGATATAGATAGCAGCAGCTTTTGTTAATTTTAGAGGAATATACTCTTTCCATCGGATATTGGACAGACTGTGTGTAGCACAAAAAACTCAAAATAAAAACTTTAAAAAATTTTTTTCATTAACTAATAGAAATTAATATATTAAACATATAATATTCTAAAAAAATTATAAATTATTTAAAATAATATATTGTAATAAACTTCAAGTCACATTAAATTTTGAACTCGTATTCTACACTAATTTCGATTTGTTTTTATTGACAAGTATATTGTGGAAATTATTCATATCTGAAATACATGTACGTCGTTAATAAGAATTTATCTTTTAATTCAGCTAAAAGCTTAGAGTGTATGTATAAATAATATTTTATGACATCATCTGGGAATGGATTGTCCCATAGGCGATATTCAAAATAGCACAGTTCCTCTGTTGGCTTTGTTTGTGTTCTGATTGAATTGAATATTTACTTGTTGATAATAATAAATAATAAATTTTAATATTCACACGAAATAGAGATTATAACTGCTAACACAATATTTTATTGAAAAATAAATAATAATATATCGATTTAATTATTTAAATAATTTTGTGAAATTTAAAACAGTTTATCTTAATTTTACAGCATCAATCAGTATTGAAGTCCTTTTAATAAATTTTCTCACAAAAATACAATAAAAATTTTTAATTATTTTCTGAACTTCACTAATTGGCTTCACCCTTAGCAACATAAATTGCTAAGAAGTTTAATCAATCTGAGTTTATATGCGCAACAAAGTTTTTATCCCTTTTGGATAATCTTACTAACTTTAAGCTCATTGACTAAACTCACTTGGCCAACATTGTTGTTATCTTCCCATGAACTTCAACTCACAGTTCCTTCTCGTAAGCGTACTTACAGTTTTCATAGCGTTTTTACGACCATAAGAGATACAAGAAAAAAGTTGATACATTTGTCAGAAAAGGATTTACTGGCTTATTTATGACCCGATATATTGGCCACAGCATGCA